TATATATATATATATATATATATATATATATATATATATATATATATATATAATATTCATACATACACACACACACACGCACACACAAACGCACACACAGACACACATACACCTACAAATACACACACACACACATAAATATATATATATATATAGACACACACACACACACATACATACATACATACATACTTACTTACTTACTTACTTACATACATACATACATACATACATACATACATACACACACACACACACATATATATATATATATATAGATATATATATATATATATATATATGAATATGCTTGATCGAGTTCATGGGGATTTTACTACGGATTGTCTGTACACTTGTACATGCCCTGTCAGAGTGCATACTTGTGAGTTGAAATCGAATAATGCTAGCGTGTGTGTATATCCGAGTATCTGCGCTTCTATACGAGAAAAAAACTATTCAGAATATATTACTTGTCTGTGCTTGTATTCAATAGGAAGCTGAGACATATACTATCCATGTCTATTATGATGCAATACAATTCGGTATATAGCCCATCTTTGTACTTGTATTCAATAAGATGCCGAAACATTAACTATCCATGTCCATTATAATGCATTTATATTCAGTTTATATCCCATGTATTGGCTTGCTTGTATTCAGTTGGAATTTGAAATATTAACTATCCATGTGCATCATAAAGGTTTCTATCCAATCTGTATCCCTGGTCTGTATGTACTTGAATTCTATAGTAAGATGCATCACACAAAAATATACATTTCCGTTACGATACAATTGTATTCAGTGCATATCCTTATCTGTACCTGTATCCGATAGGAAGGTGAAACATAAACTATCCATGTCGAAACACATGAGCGAAGCAGAACGACTGGCGGAGCTTCTGTCGCATCTGAAGTGTTATGAATATCAAATGGAGGTCGAACTGCAGAAAGAAACTGCTAACAAGGGCAACAAAGCCAGGTACGTGGCATCCCCAGTGATCTTAGACAGGCGAGTCCCTGTCACCGGCACTGTCATGTTATGCACGCAGGCGAAGAAACACACAAGTAGCAGTTGCTCAGATGCGTGTGTGGTACGATACTAGAGTGGTGTATTTATTTTACGTTTGATAGTATTCGGATATCGGTTGAGACTGCCGTGCGCACGGGTGCTGCTATAGGAGATTAGGTTCTGCGCCACTACAAATAATTGGATAGTTCGGGTATTCAACGACAGTCTACACGCGCATGCATATACGCCTGTTCACAATACACATACAATGTGTCCTCACTCATACAGTAAATTCAAGAAGTCATTCTACGGCATTGTGGTTAAGAGGGTGAAAGGCACGGGCTTGTTCGTTGCGCTCGTATCTTACCATTCATTGGCAGAACGAGCGGGCATCCGATTCGGTGATATGATCGTGGAGATCGACGATGTAGGTATGTACATGTAACCACGGGTACACTGATATTGTAGAGTGTCAGTCGGTATAGGTCAGGAGTGAGAGCCTATTGATAAGTGAGGGCGAATTGTATATATCAGGAGTGCTGGACATGCACCAACATCGTACATGGTACCGTGTTTTTATTTTCGGAAAAATTCATCCTACATGGTCCAACAACCCTTGGATATCAGTCATAATATCATACAATGTGATGGGAGGTTTCGAGTAGATCACAGTACAGAACTTCTTTTCTGTGTGTAAATAACCGTTCTAAGTCTTGCAGCCGAGTTAACTGCCTGTCACTGTGTCGGGGGTGACTTGCTACCTGTTCACCCACCGAACATGATCAGTCGGTTTCGGTATCACGCACACTCGAGTGTAGCAGAATACACTTGCTTGATACCATACATATCCATAGAGTATATATATATATATTTATATATATTGTGTGTGTGTGTGTGTGTGTGTGT